TCGTATTTACAGGGCTACATTTACACACCTAAAGACATTGACAAGTACCAACAGTATATTTATATCTCGCCCTGTCAATAAGCCTCACCTTCTTGGCAAAAACTGTATTGTTTTTGAAGTGGTGGAGAGACAATGCACAGTTTGACCCACAGCTGTCACCCATGGCCAAAGCATATCTCTCCGTCCCACTGAGGTGGCGTTAGACTTTTTCGATGTCCGTCATTTTGACAGACAGGATCGTAAAATGTCCGTCATTATCCCTTATTACCCGTCGGGTCTGAACTGTTCACAAGAGAGCACGCTCGTGAACTGTCAACGGGGGGGGGGGGGGCGGTGTTATGCCGTGTGTGTATGCACCTCGCGGGAGCGCACACAGCGTAAAGCAAAACCTCCCAGACATGTGTTGATCTGTACGGCAAAGTACGGTTTGGAAACTATATAATTTCCTTTTGGAGGGCATGCATAACACCAGAGCCTCGCTGCGGGGAAACGTTGGCGCTGTTCCGAGTTTGTTCTAATCTGTCAAAATGACAGACTGCTTTCAGATTTTTCCGTCATTGTTAAATAAAATATTCGGTTAACGCGACCACTGCTGTCCCAGCAACATCAGTACCAAGCGAGAGAGTTTTTTCCAGAGCAGGGGATTTTGTAAATGCCCAAACATCCCAGCTTATAAATACCTGGAAATGTGGACATTCTCATATTCCTAAAAACCTGTCTGATGATGCTGAGTGAGTGACTTAGTAAGTTTGAGTAGAGTTACTTGAAAAACTAAAGTGAAACTTGATTTATTTGATTGCAGGGTCTGATTATTAAATGTCCTTGTTTATTTGTGAGATGCAGTGGCTCAAAGAAAATGCCTACTTTGTTTGGTAGTACTATAAGTACAAAAACACTGGTTTTCTTGTTCCAGTCTGTTACTGTTACTTTGTTTGTGACACTTTAAAATACTGCTATCCTACTAACATGCTGTACAAATCAGATTTATTATTTAATAAAGAAACATTTTCCGAGTAAAAAATGTTTTTATTGAAAAAAATATATAAATTATTATTCAATATCGCGATAAATACCGTACCGTGGACTTGTTATCGCGATATTATCGTACCGTGAGTTTTTGGTATCGTTACATCCCTAGTATATCACCATTCAAACATGTTTTAAAAAAGTTTAAGAAACCCCACACAGCTCAGTAAACACTGAAATGTTGAATTTATTTGATCATTTCAGTAAAAAAGTAACGTTCATATTTCTCCTTTTGATTATCATAGTGTTGAACGTTCAAAACACAGCACTTTGGCAAGTTACGGCATAAGTTGTAAAATGCTGAATAAGCACAGTAACTTTCATGATACGCATTTCTCGGTCTCGATTGGTTGTTTCCGTGAACGGCAGAATGTTGTGTCATGGTAAATGTTGCGGCTGCAAAGTATTGTGGGACAGCATTTTTGTATTGTTATAAAGGAAGTTTTCGAAGCTCCTTACCTATCCTCTAGAGCAGCGGTTTTCAAAGTGTGAGGCGCGCCTCCCCTGGGGGACGCCAGAGAGCTTCAGGGGAGGCGCAGCGCAGACCCGGCGCCAGAACAAATCTAAAGGGAGGGCATATGATTTTCATGGGAGGGCACACAAAACCGCTGCGGGCCTGCGGCACAACATATATCAAACAGCAAGGCCAACAGCATTGCGCAAAGACGCACACTTATCGCAAATACATACACAAATAAAGGGCAACATAGAAACCACTTTTGAAACATTGTGTGCGTGGCAGCACACACACTGGTAAATCACGAGCAAGGCACACTGGTTAAGGATGGCAGCTTCCTCATCGCTGCACTCGGAGAGAAATAGTAGAGACGGAGACGATGAGCTGTTTAGCCGCCTTGGGCATGGTTTATGTTCCTATGCACTGCACTCGGACATGTGGAGTGAATCGTGGTCACCTCTGAGAGGGAGTTGGTTGACAGCTAAAAAAGCTATAATATCAACGACAGCTGACACGTAATAACGGTTCCGTGCCAGCTGATCTGCACCAAAGTACTCATTTCCTTATTTGTTTCCTCGCGTATCTGTCTCTCTCTCCACAAACTCTCACATGAAATGTGTTCTTTTGATGCGGCATGCATTAGCAGTCCTTTATCAGTCTGTAATGCGTGTTTCCAGTCGCAAAAACCTTTGACAGTAAAAGCCGCATCAGATGAAGATGTACTTTAAACTGTCTACAGGGGAAACAAAAGGCTGCGTCTGCTTTTAACGGATATTCAAGCGATGGTCTGTTGTTGTACCATGCAGCGGCAAAAGTGCGCTTCTTTCCTGAAAACAATCTCCCTGGATAACGATCCAGTTTCACCTGGTTGGGTTTATTAACCCCAAGATCATCTGGGGCTGTTGGTCTTTGAGCGGTTGCTGGCCCAATAGTACCTGTTGATGTGCTACAAGGTAGCGTCTGTAGTGGAGGCACCGGCACGGAGCAGGAGGAGGATGCTGGCGGGTGTGGTACGGGGTGTGGCAACGCAGGTGGTGATGGTAGGGGCACAAGGAGCTGTGCCTCGGAGGACAGCGTTGGGGGCGGCCGCCTTGATGAGTCAAGGCTTGGGCTCGCTAACTCAGCCCCGGGGTTTGCCGAGGTCAAGCTTGTGACATTAAGGCGTGCTGCTGCAATGGCAGGTGCAGGGTCGCCAGCAGCTGCATCGGCTGCAGTTCTTTCATCGCTATTTTGTTTTAATAAATCCTTAGACCTTTTAAGACAATTTCTTGTCTGTAATTTCTTTGTAATTCAAACAGAAATGGGAGTCTACTGAATGCACAATAAACAAATCCAGAATAGGCTGCAGAGTGTGACGCTGTGATTGGTCTAAATGTGGACGAATCACAAATCACAACAGACATATTAATTTATTTTAGGTAGCCTGCGATTTTTTTTTTAGTTACTATCTGACATCACATACATCGTAGCATAACAGTTCACCGCCGGGCATGCGCAGCGGGAGAAAAAAACAACGAGAAACAGTGAAATCTAGCTAGTTAACTTCAGCTAACTTTATGCGAGCGGCAACATGGATCGATTTTTAGTGAAGTTGCCTAAAGTGAGAGAGGAGACAGCGTCTGGCAGAAAACGGAGGAAGTATGACCACGATTATTTGAAGCTAGGATTTTCATGGACCGGTCATGCAGGCGGACTGGCCATCTGTGTGTTTTGGAGAATCACAGAACGGCCGGCCGTCAGCGGGTCGTTGACGGCCGGCCGGCACCGCCCTTTATTTTAATAATACTTACTTTGATCAAAAGCAAGTACCGGTCAAGGCTGCAGCCAGAGGATGATCTGCGTTGCTTCCTGTCTATATTGCATCCCCGCATCATCCGCCTGTGCGCATCAAAGACGCAGACTCATCGTTCCCACTAAAGTAGGGCTGAGTGAAATAAGGAGTGTTAGAGATTTGGAGGGATAACTGGTCCGCTTTTCAAATCTCCGCGCGTTCCTATGAAGCTGGTTATAATACAGGAAGGAATCCATATCTACAAAGTAACCGTTAACAATAATCTACTTTAATGGCAATATGACAATGCAATACAATCATTACAATACAACATGATATATTAGTTATATTGTAATGCTTAAGGAGTAATACCGGCTTACTCCTGCCCTGGTTCGCATACTGCAGAGCTACTTTCACCCGAGGGCAGCATGTGAAGAAGAGGCCGAACGCCAGGGATCCACCGGAGATATACCAGAGTAAGAAGGAGGGGTTTGGTGTTAGGTCAGCTGGTCATCTTTTCAGGTCATCTCATTGGGAGACGCAACGCAGCAGGAAACGCAGCAGGAAACCAAACAGGCTCACTTTACAACAAAAGGTCTCAAGGCCTGCATACCTACACCTCCCCCACAGAGCCATAAAACCCTGTTTACTCCAACCAGCCCAGAATGTTTATAGCCATTTGTAGTCCTTACATTTATGAAAGGATAAAACAGAGAAATCAATATAAAACACAAACACAGGTATTGTTTGAACAGTATTCACTTAACTGCTACTGTTGATAAGCACCAGAGAAACCCAAGGGACCTCTCTTAACATCACAAACCACTGTAGCTCGTTCTAAGTTGAATCCAAATCAGGACATGCTCTCACCTTCCCCCATCTTCCTTTGTCCTCAAAAACACATGTCAACAGGCCCAAATCCAGCTCACAGTTTTACCCAAATTATTCCCATTTTAAGCTTATCCATAGTTTGCTAACATGAATAAATACAAATATAACTCTACAGGAGGCAAAGTTGACGTTCAGTGTGTTGCCGGGAGCATATAAGGATTTATCCATGATGTTGAAAATGTTAGAAATGTTTAAAAAAAAAGTTACAAATATAAAGATAAAAAGGTTTAAAAGTTGTTGTTTAATGTGACGCTCCTCAGCCAATCAAATCGGTGCAGTCAGTGAGTCAGCAGGATAGATTCAAACACACACACAGAGACGAGACAAGACGAGAGAAACAGTCGGAGTCATTTCAAATGGCGTGCTCAAAAAAGAGAAAGGTAGACAGCGAAAACAGAACATTTAATGACATGTCCTCTCACTGGACCTCTTTGAAATGCAATTGAATAGCCCTGCATTATAGCAACAACAATAATAATAACAATAATAATTGGGAGTGGGAGTGGGGGCGCGGCTGTTCTCATGTTCTCTGAGGGGAGGCTGACCTTCCCACACTTTGAAAACCCCTGATCTAGAGAATCAAATCATCATGGCTGCCACTGAGGTAGTTCCAGGTCATTTCACTCCATCAGGAACCTTCCCAAGCTAAACTGATCATTTGACCGCAACCCGTGATAGTAAATGACCGTCATCATGAAGAGGGTTAGTTCTGATTTTTGGAAGTAGGGTTTTTCCAGGTACTTGTTATAGTACGTTTATTGCCTATATGGTGGTCCACACGCCCCTAGTTTTGAGAGGCACTCGGAGTAAAATCTATTTGATCCACCTGGAAAAAAGGTATAAGAGTTCACAATATCAACACCACTTAACCTTTCCATCAGACAACCCTTTAGAACAAGGAACTATACCTGTTTATCATTTCAAACTCTCCAATTGATTTTTTTATCGAAAATAGTAATTTTGTAGAACAGGGGAGTGTTATTGTGTGACTCGGGTGTTTTAAAGGGTGAGTAAGGTTTCATAAAAGTCCCTCAATAACACAAGCAGTCTGTTTGAAGCTGTGGTGGACCAGTAACCGCCTTGTTCTGAGGGGAAAAGTGACTGAAAAGTGACTGAAAAGTGACTGTCAATGGAGTCTGGTAGCTTTGAACATAGCACAGTTAGTGGCTGTCTTGTGAAAATGCTCTAGAAATAGTGTACTCTTAATCAGATTTTTTATTTTTATTTTGAGGGCCCTTTCTTTTACGTGGCTAAAATAAGTTTTGCTACTGCTCCAGGTCCCAGCAGTGCATTGCTTTGCATCTGAGCTGCTACTCTCCAAACCACTGGCTGGGAACTAGTACCTCACACAGTCCCTCTCCATCTGAACCATCCCTGTAATATTTAGCAATCTTTTATCTGTTCCTGTATTCTCGTCCTCCTCTCCCTCAGGATCGTGTCTACCCTGATCTGCAGCGTCTGCTGGGCCAGCAGGGCGGCAGGGGGGGGGTGGGGAGGGACGTCCAGTGGGAGCAGATCCTGTCCAGAGCGGCCTGCCTCCGAGACATCTGCAGAGAGAGGTCAAACACACACTCACTCTCTCACACACACACACACACACACACACACACACACACACACACACACACACACACACACACACACACACACTCTGGACGTGGCCTTAGGCTGGAGTTCAGAAGATGTTTTACTTAAATAAAGTTGCGATATTAAATTGAAAATTACTCTGTAATAAGTAAAAGTCCTGTATCCGAAAAGTATCGGCTTCAACTTAAAGTTCTCATTATGTCTAAAGGCCCATATGTCATATTTAATTATATATATATATATATATGACATTATCAGATTCTTAAAATTGTTGCATCAAGCATTATTTTACTGTTGCACAGAAACAATGTTTTAACTGTAATGTATAATTTCATTGTTTTGTAACTTAAACTGTTAGTCCAGTAGTTTCAGAGATGCATTGTGTAAAAGTGTATCATGTGTTTTTTAATGCAAAATCTAAGTATCTAAAGCTGTTTAATAAATGTAGTGGAGTAAAAAATACATTATCTCCCTTTTAAATGTGCTGGAGTAAAAGTATTAGGTAGGATTTTATGTAAATAAGTACTTCAAAATTGTACTTGATTACAGTACTTGAGTAAATGTTCTTTGTTCCCTTTCACCACTGGTGGAGTTGAATGAATACAATAGGGACATTTGTATGGTAACCTAATATATATCATCTCTGGGCTCTCGGAGGATTGTCATACATTTAACATTATTGCCAACGTGCAATAATGTTAAATGTAAAAACAAGGACTACGACAGCACTGCTGTGCAATATGTACCTAGTTACATTTATAATTATTACTGGCTGTCTTCTTAGCAATGTTTAATACTGTAACAAGAACTCTGCGCAGTATATCATGTTACCTCTGTTTACTCCACTACATTCTTTGTGTTACACTTAATTTATTTGTATAAATACTGCTACTACTTTTCTACCCAAATGTGGACTTGGAATAATGTGTATTTTCAATACTATGTGCATGCTTTTTACCGAATAGTGTTTTATTGTTTGTCTCCATCTTCACTTTTGCTGTAACAATGTAGATTTCCCCACCGTGTGTGTGTGTGTGTGTGTGTGTGTGTGTGTGTGTGTGTGTGTGTGTGTGTGTGTGTGTGTGTGTGTGTGTGGTGTGTGTGTGTGTGTGTGTGTGTGTGTGGTGTGTGGGTGTGTGTGTGTGTGTGTGTGTGTGTGTGTGTGTGGTGTGTGTGTGTGTGTGTGTGTGTGTGTGTGTGTGTGTGTGTGTGGTGTGTTGTGTGTGTGTGGTGTGTGTGTGTGTGTGTGTGTGTGTGTGTGTGTGTGTGTGTGTGATGTGTGTGTGTGTGTGTGTGTGTGTGTGTGTGTGTGTGTGTGTGTGTGTGTGTGTGTGTGTGTGTGTGTGTGTGTGTGTGTGTGTGTGTGTGTGTGTGTGTGTGTGTGTTAGGCCTTACCAGCACGGAGGGGACATGCTGGCTGCCATCACGCTGACTCTGCAGCAGTGCACCAGACCAGACATGGCAACCCCCGCTGCTCTCGCCCTACAAGGACTACAGGAGCTGTGCCGGGCAGAGGTCACACACACACCTGTAGTTAATATTTACTGCCTGTACAGTCATGTAGACACTGAGGTTACCTCCCGTCCTGCAGGTGGTGGACATCATCTCGCTGTGGAGGACCCTCGGCCCCCAGCTGAGCTCAGACCCCCGTCCTCAGATGGTCAGAGTGGTCTCTGAGCTCCTGGCTCTGGTTCCCCAGCTCAGCGTCAAGTCAGAGGAATACCAGGTTTCTGATCTCTAAATAACTACTTGATGCAAAAAATATTATTTAGAAATGTCACATATATAAATGTTTCTGCATAATGAATACTTTAACTTTTATATTTAAAGTACATTTAGCTGATTATACTTAACTTTGACTTTGGAATGCAGGACCTTTACTAGAAATGAAGTATTTTGACAATAATATATTTTACTTTTAATTAATATGAATACTTCTTCCACCACATCCTTCACTTTTTAAAATGATAGAACACTTTCCTGGCTGCTATCATTTGCATTCAGATTTTTTCAAATCAGAAAGCTACTGATCTTTTGACTGTACTCTAACATCAACATTTTCTTTTCAGAAATTGAAGGAGGAGGTGGTCAGCTTTCTCTGGAATAATGCTGTGAGCAAGGTCAGTGTCATATCACGGCTGTGTGTGCTGAAACACCTGTCCTATTGTGAAGCTAAAAGGTTGCTAACATATTACAAAAGCAACAACACTGATATAAAATGAAGTGAACATGTTAAGTAAGGCACCTGTTGAACTGACCGCACATTCCTAAAGCTGGATTTATTCAGCTTTTCACTCTGGCTTATATATTTTTAATACAGGATGGTGCACACATGTGTTGTATACATATTATGTATACAGTTTATCCAGCTTTACAGATGTTGCTTTCAGGGCACCAATAGTCTGATAGACTGAGGTTTGATAGACATGTTTAAAAAGCATCTATATTCCCTGCATTGTGCTTGCATTTCAAATGTTCCTGTATGTACAAAGCTTTGATAAAAAACATTGGATGTTTGTTGCTGTCACAGGATCCAGAGGTGGCCAGCTGTGGCTTCAGAGCTTTGGCAGATTTTCCTGAAGAGGCCCACACAGTGAATCTTCTCCCTGAAGCAGTAAGACTCCTGCTGCCCTCTCCGAACACTCTCTTTATTACACTAGATGTTATCAATTTCTTTCCGCACCAAACTTATATTTGTGAAAAAAAAGGTAGTACGGACTTTTATTTGGGATATTATATCTTAAATTCACATTAAATATCTCAAATATGACAAACTGTGAATGCAACTAATATTGAATCAAAAGAAGCGTTAGAATTGTGTAAGGTAAATATTGAAATAAAGGGCCGACCAGCTAACCAATCAGAGCAGACTGGGCCATGGTTTCAGACAGAGGGTGAAAAGAGGTGCTGCAGGACAATAAGAGTATGAGAAGAATAAAGAGCTTTTTGAACACTAAGCATGGAGACCATTTTGAACATTAGAATGACCATAATGGGCCCCTTTAAAAGATCCACAGCTCTTTATCCTAATGGTGGTAGTACGTTTTGCATCTGATATTATGGGATGTTTCGATAACCTGCTTATATCATCATGTTGGTTCTGATGCTTCTGTTGCTCTGCAGGCCAGACCAGCTACAAAGGCCCCTGAAAATGAGGAGGATGAAGAGGTGAAGGAGGAAGAAGAGAAGGACCTCTCTATTCCTGGTCCCTCCTATGTGAAGCTGATGGCTCTCACCCCTGGGTCTGTCCTGCCAGGTACAGAACTGAGCTCAGTGACAGCAGGCAGACAATATCCAGGATTGTTGTGGACATTTCAGAATCAGAATTCCTTCATTTGGAAAATACAGCAAGAGTATAGTGTAGATTAAGTCAAAAAGTGTAGACGTACATATTAGTATAAACAAATATTTAAAGTATGCACACAAACAAATAACAGATAAGTAAACCATGGTTAAACATACTTGACCCTATAGAAATATTGAAGTAGCTGGTGATGGTTTATACAGCACTGGGGTTTACAGATTGTAAATAAATCAAAATAAAATGCACAAGGGTATATTGTACACGGTTGCTAAAAGGGTTGGATATCTGCTACAGTTTGATCGTAGCAGTTCAGTCTGACATATTTTAAAATGTTCTTCTCTGACTCTGATTTTGTTTCTCCCCAGCCTTTGAGATCTTCCTGACCTCGCTGGTGAAGCAGGAGATGAGCCAGATGCCTCGGGGGGTTTACTTCTCTGCCCTGAGGGGGGGCAACCTGCGGTCAGACCAGGGGAAAACAATGGCCGGAGTTCCATCTTTCATGCTTAAAACCTATGAGAAGAACAAGCAGCCTGGGCTGAAGCCCGGCCTGGCAGGTGGGCAGAACCTTCCTGTTTGATGCTTTCTATTCTACTGGTATTTTATTGTGTCAATACCCTACATATTTGACAAAGGTATGATGTTCGGATCAGACAGACTGTCAGAGATCCTTCCTTTAAAGATAAATGTCGTTGCTACAGCGCCACCAAAGTGTCATTTATTCACATGTCAACCAAATGTGGTGCAATGACACAAAGTTCAGGAGATTTGTGACCTTTGATTCTGGAATATAAGCCCTGCCAAAAGCGCTTGAACAAATGTTGACGGCTTAGCTGAAGTAAAACTGTAGGAACAAAAATCTAAAACTCTTTTCTGGCTTGGTCTAGAGATGTCGGTCTAGCCTTATCAACTCTATACATTGATCCTATGTTGCTGTGTTTACAGCTTGTTGTGGTTCAACTCTGGCTCCAGCTGTTAAAACAAATCTATTACGGTTGACATTTGTATGCTTCTTCCTGCCTTACGCGCTCACAGATTAGTGTGTTTGTGTTTATCCGTCTGTGTGTGTGTTGTTAGTGAAAATTATATTTATGTCTTACCCAGCGTTGTAACCCCATTTTTATTTCTGTTCTTTGTCACTTTAATGACCTTTTGAACATTTCCTAATGATTTTAACGTTTTTGTGAAGCACCCTTAACTGCCTGGTTTGTTGACCTGTGCTACAACCCTTCTTGCAGCCGGGCTGTTGCTAAGCTACGAGCTGCCGGTGCAGACGGACCGTGAGGGCAGAGCCATGGATCGCTTCCTGGTCAGCCGCAGCCGCAGCTACCAGCTGACCCTGGCAGCCCTGATCCATGAAGTACGTCTGCATCCTGCCCTCCCACTCCTCCTCATGTTAACCAATTACATTCTTCACACAGTTAAAACTCCTGCTGGTGGTTTCCGCAGGTGAACATCCAGCCGTCTGAGTGGCACCGGGCCCTCCTGCTGCCCCAGGCCTGGAGGGGCTTCATGAGCCGGGCCTTCCACGCCGCCCTGCAGGTTGGTGACATCATATTTCTAGAAGGATTGGTCAATACTCCATTACAGTTTACACCACAGGCCATAAGACTGTTCAACTCCTGAGCTCTGTGAAGTGCCTTCATAACTCCATTGGTCTGTTTGCATCTCACAAATGTATTTATTAAAACTGTGGGTTTTCTCTGGAAGTTTTTCCTTGTACGATGTGAGGGTCTAAGGACAGAGGGTCTAAGGACAGAGGGTGTCGTTTTGTCATACTGATATTCTGTACAAACTGTGAAGTCCACTGAGACAAATGTAACATTTGTGATATTGGGCTATAAATACACATTGATTGATTGATTGATTGATTCCTACAAGTAGTCATTTATTTCACTCTACAGTATTTCATTTTACATTATTTTCTTTATCTTATTCTATTTTAAATGACTCCTACATTTCAATTCAATTCAATTCAAAACCTTTATTTATACAGATAAAACCCATTGAGATCATAGACCTCTTTTACAATGGTGACCTGCTTCAATTAGTTCCAAACATTAATACAAACATGACAGAAAACAATGGACATTATATGATACTACAGTTTGTATACTAGTAGCATTTACAGACACCAATATGTTCTGATTGTATAGCGTCTATCCTAGCTTTAAAAACATGAAATGGAATCAAACTGCTTAGCTTCCATTCCTTTTGTAGACTGTTCCATGCTAGCGGCGCTGCGCATCTAAAAGCTGTATTTCCTAATACAGTCCTAGCAGTTGGCACATGTAATACAACCACAGCTTTAGATCTCAGGCAGTAGCCATTTACAATACGCTGTGAGATCAGGGAACAGATGTAAGACGGAAGTTTCCCTAACATTGCTTTATAAATAAAAAGATACCAGTGATTTAGCCGCCGTACAGTAAGTGAAAGCAACCCTGCCCTTGTATACAGGGTACAATGATGAGTCAAAGTCTTACAGTCTGTCACAAACCTTAGTGCACTATGATAGGCGGCATCTATCTTGGTGAGGTAATTGGCCGGCGCATTCATATAAAATAGATAACCATAGTCCAGCACAGGTAAAAAGGTCACAGAGACTAGCCTTTTCCTGGCCTCAAGAGAGAAACAGGACTTGTTCCTGTAGAAGAAACCTAGCCTAACCCTCAGCTTTTTAAGCAGGTTATTTACATGCAGTTTAAAAGAAAGACAGTCATCAAGCCAGATACCAAGGTATTTGTAAGAGGTTACCACTTCAAGTTTTTTTCCTTGCATGGTTACAATATCTAAAACAGGCTCTGGTGACTTTTTAGCTTTTGAAAAGAGCATTAACTTGGTTTTATCCACATTTAAAAGAAGCTTAAGCGCTGAGAGCTGAGTCTGAACAGTGTTAAAAACAGTCTGTAATTTAACAACAGCCTCCTTAACTGAGGTACCTGCACAATACATCACAGTATCATCCGCATACAAATGTAAGGTAGCTTCCTCCACATTATCACCCAAGCTATTAATATAAATGGAGAATAAAAGTGGACCTAGAACAGAACCCTGAGGTACACCATTAGAAATGCTCAACCACTCAGAAGTGAGCCCATCAAAGTGAACACATTGGGACCTTTCAGAGAGGTAGTTCACAAACCACCCCACTGCATGGCTGGATATGCCAATACTGAGTAGCCTCTGTTTTAAAATGCGATGATCAACGGTATCAAACGCTTTAGAGAGATCAATAAATAGAGCTGCACAACTCTGCTTATTATCTAAAAAACTAGTGATGTCATTTACAACTTTCATTGTGGCAGTGATGGTGCTATGTTTTTTCCTGAAGCCTGACTGATGTTTCGACAGGATATCATTTATACATAAAAAGTCCTTTACTTGCTCACTCACTAGTCGTTCAAGCACTTTAGCCAGAACTGACAATTTCGAGATTGGCCTATAGTTATTTAAAATAGTTGCCTCCCCTCCTTTCAGTAAAGGCAAGACATAAGCAGACTTCCATACTTTAGGAATTGTATTTGTGCTGAGGGAGAGGTTAAAAAGAGAAGTAAGCGGTGGAGCAATCAAATCTACAGCTATCTTTAAAAAGAAAGGTTCTAGGTTGTCCGGGCCAGCCGGTTTCCTAGGATCTAACTTGGATAAAATATCATGGACAACATCGACAGTTAAAGGAGTAAAACTGAAAGGGTTTTCCAGACCACATTGTTCAAGGATTGGAGCGTTCACAGAAGCAGAAGCACAGTCAGTGACAGAATCAAACAGCGAACCACAAGACACAAAATGCTTATTAAAACAATTGAGCATAGTAGCCCTGTCTGATATAATGCCAGATTCTGTGGTAAGGCATGGAGGTAGCTCATTTGGAATATCACCAGTGGAAATCGATTTTATGGCTTTCCAAAATGTCCTAGGATTATTCAGGTTTTCTGTGGTAACTGACAAATAGAACTTTGATTTAGCACTTTTTATTTGTGATGTGAAGCTATTTCTTAGCTGCCTAAAGCGTAGCCATTCTACCGCTGAGCCTGATTTCCTAGCCTTAGCCCAGGCATTGTTTCTCTCATGAAGGAGACTAGACAGTTCAGCGGAAAACCAGGGATTGTCTCGACCCTTCACTCTGAATTTACGCAGAGGTGCATGTTTATCTATAATTTTCATAAAACCAAGATACAAATAAGACCATGCAGTCCGCACACAGATTGATCTTACCCCAATCAAAATCAAACAGATCGTGTAAAAAACCCTGCTCCACAAAGTGTTTTTTATCTCTCCTTGTGATAATGCGTGGTTTCACTTTTTGGATCTTAGTGTCCCTAATTGTGGCAACAACACAGTGGTCACTCACATCATTAGCAAATACTCCCACAGATGAGTATTTATGTGGCACATTTGTTAAAATGAGATCAATTAAGGAGGATTTATTTGGGGACTTAATGTTTGGGCGAGTAGGACTATCTACAATCTGAGTAATGTTCAAAGAGGTACACAGGTTTTTAAAGTCCTCTGACACAGAAGTTAACCAGTCCCAATTAAAATCACCAAGCAGCACTATTTCCTTGTAGGAAAGTTGAGATAACAGTTTTGCCAGTGAAGATAAGGAGTCCTTGACAGCTGAGGGGGGTCTGTAGCAACCCACCACCATGACCTGTTGACCCTTTGTGACTTCGACATTCACAGCTAAAAATTCCAGTTGTTTACTAACCGATTTGGAAACCATATTTGTTACACAAAACTTATTTCTCACATAAATGGCAACGCCACCACCTTTTTTAGGACGGTCATTTAGCTTATTCTATTAAGCTTAGTTGGGGGTTCGGTGCCTTGCTCAAGAGCACCTCTGCAGTTCAGGAGATAACCTGGCACCTATCCAGGTACCGCTCACAGGTAGTTCCCATACCCGGAGGGGAACCCGGGCCGTTCCTAACCACTATGGGAGCGATAAGATTCTGCATTTGACCAATGCTAGTATTAGCAGTGGGTACTCATTATGCACAGGGACTTAAAAGTAGTGTAGGGGGCGGCAGGGACACCTCTTTATTAAAAAAACTCTGTTTTTCATCACATCTGTTTTACATGGGGATCTGTTACTTTTCTTTAGGGGGTATTTTGAAAAGATTTGCTGCCATCATGTTGTCCCTTTTTAAAATACAAGACCATTTCAATCCCAACTCTATGTTTGTCTTGTCTGAGTTTAACTGAATTCCCTGCATGGCTTTACTTTGTGTTGTGTTCAGGGTCGACGTGCTGATTTGGGGATGCAGCAGAAGCAAGGCAAAGAAGACCCCCAGGAGATCCAGTACAAACAGCACTGTGCCTGGCTGTGGTGAGAATACACACACACACACACACACACACACACACACACACACACACACACACACACACACACACACACACACCCATCAAAAGGAGCCCACAGTGAAGTCACTAGAGGCTTCTCAATTGTTAAATTTCCCCTCCTCGACTCCTCGGCCCTCCGGTAGTGACCCGGAAAAGGATTTCAGCGCGCCATTTTGAAGGACATCTAATTTCTCTAAATGCACATCGAGTGTCGAGGAGGCTCTCTGGAGGAGCTCTAACCGAGGAGACACTGATGGGTCCTCCACGGATGCATTTCCGGGAACGGTGGAGGCATTACGCACGGCCGGACTTATCTTAGACAATGATAGCTCTCCATGCATCCCCTGGATATTATTTTATTAACTGCTTTCATCGTGACGCGATGTTTACACTGAGAACAGCTGTGAGGTCCGTGCAGAAAGCAGAGCAGTGTGTATAATATATATCACGCAGTGTAACAGGCCTACATTACTCTCTGTATTTGTATGCTGTAGTTTAGTAGATATCTACAAACAAAGAGTCGATATTTTTCTAAGACCATTTAGTGCTTCACATAATAAAATACACAACGGCTGTAGCCTGATATATATATGTGTGTGTGTGTGTGTGTGTGTGTGTGTGTGTGTGTGTGTGTGTGTGTGTGTGTGTGTGTGTGTGTGTGTGTGTGTGTGTGTGTGTGTGTGTGTGTGTGTGTGTGTGTGTGTGTGTGTGTGTGTGGTGTGTGTGTGTGTGTGTGTGTGTGTGTGTGTGTGTGTGTGTGTGTGTGTGTGTGTGTGTGTGTGTGTGTGTGTGTGTGTGTGTGTGTGTGTGTGTGTGTGTGTGTGTGTGTGTGTGTGTGTGTGTGTGTGTGTGTGTGTGGTGTGTGTGTGTGTGTGTGTGTGTGTGTGTGTGTGTGTGTGTGTGTGTGTTGTACAGTGCGTAGATGCAGCGGACAGACGGGTCTCAGTTGGTTTGGTGTCCTCTGCTTAGGGCTGGGCGATTTTTTCGGTTTTAACGATTAATTTGCATTTTTACTTTCCTACGGTTTGTGAAATGGCTGAACCGAAAAATCGCGATTTAAAAACATTTCTAGACTCCGCAGATTTGTTTTGCTTTAAGGGACTCCGTAGTAGCTTACTCTCACTTTCCAGAACGCGCACAAAACTCAGCCACATTGCCTGTGACTACCCGATCTGCAGCTCTGTGTACACATATATCACTTAAATTATTCAATACATCCTTTGTACTGAAGTATTCAAGAGTAAATAAAGTAAATAAAGTGTAATATAAATGATTTGCTGTGGCCAATTGTTTTCATTGCATTTACAGACCCGTGTAAATCTCTGATACCACCCAATGAATGCATTGACTTGCTTGTAGAACCACGCTACACAAAACAGATAGCAACACCTATACAAACTATTTTAAAAAAAGGGGCTATTGTATCGACCTATATAAAGTATATAAATATTTTTTTCAAAATACCAAAAAGATCCTGCATTTTAGCCATGCCTCATTTCGCTCCATTTGCTTTTTCCAGCGCTGTTTTTGCAGGGGCTGATTCTGTGAGCTGCAGCTGACCACGCCCCCCTGCAAGAGAGGGGAGCGTGCTCTGAGATCAGCTGCTGGGCGGTCTGTAGAGGGGGAGGAAAAGAGATCTCCATCCTCCGTGTTTTATTCTTATAGAAGTAAGAAGAGAAGTAATGGGGCAGAAACCCTCCTTTTTACGCAGCGGTCCAGACATAGACATCAAACGGCGACACATATTCAGTTGGCAGTTACTTTGGCATTAGGGCAGGGATATCTAGATACTTCTCAAGGTCTGACATCATGAAGTGTGCTACTTTTAAAGCAAGCAACGATGTTTTCAAATCTGTAATCAAAAAGCTCCTCAAAAACACTATCGAAGCAGTTCCTGCCGTTGCTACGTTAGTTCAAACAGTAACAACGGACTACTTTTCTTAGCGGATGCTTGTCAATTTAAATCAATACATAAAACTATTTTTTAAGTCAATAAAATCATTTTCTAAATCCATAAAAGCATTTCAATTAATATTGGGAGTCATGTCGTTACTTTGTTGAGAATGTGGCCATGTGTAATAAGCGGGATGATGTGCACATTGCATAATGTGCCTTCATGCCGATCTAGATCCCTCCGCAAAAAAAACAAAAAAACGGCTCGTTCGCGGGCGAGAGCCGGCTCCCGTCGTTCACTTAAAAGAGCCTTGGTCTGGTTTGTTTAGAAAAAAACAGAAAAAAAATCGAGGTTTAAATCGAAAATTGTCCATTAGTTAGAAAAAATCGCGATTTTATTTTTAGGCCAAATCGCCCAGCCCTGCCTCTGCTTACTTTTAATACTTGTAAATACAACTTTTGGCCCGTAATTTCAATTCCCCATTTCAGCGACCAGAGAGAGGGGTGGGGGGGGGGGATATATCCAGTCTCTGATTGTGTTACGTTATTATGAGAGTGCTCTCATACTTGTTTGATTCTGAAATTGTATATATGTATATACATATATATGTGTGTCCGAATCTGTAGCCTGTTATTGTCTCATTATACCGCACGGTGAATGAATCAAAGTAAATATATAAGTGGTCATGAACACATCTGTCCATCAGACAGAGGGCTGCTGTGCCTCCTGTCATCATTAATGGACGTCTCTTTAAAATGAGAGGAGAGGAGTTCTCATTTCTCTAACCGCCTGCTGCTTCCCCTCCTCTCTCCTCGGTTCTCCTCCTCGACTCCTCCGCTCGCATCTCCTGTGGGCGGCACTAAGACACGAGGATAGGAGTCGAGGAGGGGAGTTAGAGAAATGAAAAGCCTCTATTGTTTGTAAATCAAAGTAGAGAACACCCTCACCTTGTGTGTCTGGCTGCTCCAGGGCTCTTTGTTCAGAAGCAGAGCCAGGCTGTGGGGCATTCCCAGCATGCACTGCGGCAGGGTGTGGTCAGTGGAGGACTCCTCACCGTACAGACCGTGTTGTAGGGTTTAACCCTAACCATGTATACATCACTTCAGGGGACATTACATTGACTTACATGCATTTCCTGGAGACTTATCCTAACCTTAACCATAACCAACACATGCCTAACCCTTACCCTTAACCTTGCCCTTACCCTAACCCTAACCAAGTCTTCACCCTAAAATTAATGATTCCCCTCATGGGGACCTCCATTTTGTCCCCATAAGGGAGGCGAGTCCCCACACGTGACTATGTAAACAGATGTAGGTCCCCACAAGTATAGTAATGCTAGGACACACACACGCACACACACACAAAGTGAACTACTAAAGATGTTAAGTGGTATGATGTAGTAAAGGGCAAAATAAACCAAATGGTGATACTTGTTTTAGTTTTTTTGTGTAATCTTATTCATCTTTTTTTTCTTAACTCAACCTTTTAAGAAAAAGGTTGTGAAATAAGTGAACATCCTTCAGTTTCTCTCAAATGTATCGAAGATCAGAATCAAGTTTATTGCCAGGTACGTTTACACCATAGACTGTATATATAACGGGTTTACACATACAAGGAATTAGCTTTGGTATCTGGTGGTGCGAACATAAACAATCTAAGAAAATAAGTTGCAATAGTAGGTAAACAAATAAATATACAAGGATAATCAAAAAATAAGTATTTTTAAGAAACAATTTAACATGGGATAGGATACTAAAGACAACTATTTACACCAAATTTAAATATAACTATACAAAGAACCTTAAAAGCTAAAAAAACACTTAGAGAACACTTAGGATAAGGAAAATATGACAATATATGGCAAACTACAGTGAACTACATGTATGTAAGATGACCAAACATATAACATTTCTTCAGGACAGGTGGCAGCATTTCTAATTTCATTCCAAATGTTGTATGCACAAGAGGGTATACACAGTTACAAATAAAGATACATCATTATAATGATCAATGTGGGGAAAAAACTGCTTTACTATTAAAGGTTTCTTAATTTACCTTTTTATTGTAGACATTTCATCATCATCATCATCAATCCCATCTCCATGAAAGTATCTGCAATAACAACATATATGTTCTTCTTACCTTACACTATATTTCTGTTATTTTAACATAAAGGCACATTTTCAAACACACAGAGTAAAGAACAAACAGTTTGAATACATGCTGGTGTTCCACATCCTTTCATTAGCAGGAGAGGGTCCTCTCATAATGCACTTCTCTTTTTCTTTCCTCCATCTTTTTCTTCTCAGGGCCAGAGATCAGCTGACAGACGTCATCAAAACTGCTACAAAGTGAGTCCTCACAGAAACATTGTTGAGGGGATCTGAAGGTCACACCTTGATATAAATGTCAGTACTAACTGGTATGTTCTGTGTGTACTTCAGGGACAGTCCGGTGGTTCAGGGAAACTCCATCCTGGCTCTGAGCGGCCTGGCTTCAGTGCTGGCTAAATATGAGAGCAACCTTCCTGCTGACAGTGAAGGCAGCCTCAGGGTGAGAGACCCACTGTTTTACTGTCTGTAGACACAGTGGCAGGAAACGTGTGTGAACCCTTTGGAATTTCCTGCTTTTAGCATGAATTGGTCATTAAATGTGAACTGATATTCATATAAGTCACAAGTATGACACACACTATCTGTTTTATCTAGTAGCACTAGACTTCACCTATGGTTGGCTTGATGAAGGTTCTTTCTGACTGTAGGAGCTAAGTCTAGTACTAAAACTGCCTCTGGTTCTCACACACATTCCCGCTATGGAGGTCAAACCATATCCGCTTTTGGGGTCAAAACTCAACCAATCGCATGACACAACACCCTATGGCACCCGCAGTAAATAACTCACTCTGGTGACAGCTTGTAATAAGACCTTGACAGGTATGGACGAGTCTTAAAAACATGTTCCAAAGTGGGAAAATTATGGTTTTATGGAATTATACTGCACTCATCTGCAAGTAAACTTCATCCTGATGACGGGTTGCCTCTCATCTCAACACTACAAAGGCACACTATTTTAAAGGAAGCAGGATTTCAAGCTCAAACTCTGAACATAACCTGGTCCGGATGCCATGGCCATCCAGCCAGGTTAAAAGAGAGCCACCTTCGCAGTACGGAATACTTGGCTTTAGGCTCGACATACCTCGCTAGCACACTGATCTGGCTTGGTAGTATACTCCCCAGTTCTCTCTTGCTTTCAACCTATAATCCTCTACCCCAGTGGTTCTCAAACTTTTTTCAATAATGTACCCCCTTTGAAACAAATATTCAGCCAAGTACCCCCTGATCGGCGCAAAAACTATTTGTTAGGGGGAAAAGCCTATATAAAGAGGTACAGTACAGTGCTGCACCATCAGTGTCTGATTTATTAAAACAACAACCTTGTAACTGAGAAACACTTAAATGCTACATTTCAAATGTTTACAATCCATCATTAAATTCATAGCAAACCAATTTCAACATCATGCAATAACACTGAGACGACATTAGTTGCATTGAACTGATCTTTTTAATAAATTGTACTTACAATGTAGTGAAACATGGGCTTGAGCTTCACTGAGGATCTTTGTCATTCTGACAGGGAGGCAACCTGCAGTTATTACACTTCGCGTTTTGAAATATGTTTAACTCTGTTCATATAAAACCCACACTGCTCAAACTTCCTTACTTTTCCTAAAATTGGTATATTTATTTATTTATTTTGGGGCGTGGGGAATGAAGAGAAACAAATATATGAGCATGTTATGAGCATGGGATTTTGACCCCTCATATAAACATGCAAAATGCTGCGCTATACTTTGCGGCCACACGCCGTTGCCAAGCAACGCTTATTGTTTAGGTCCTTTGATAAGCAGGCAGTCATATAATTAACTAGAACTAGTTAGATCTGATAGATGTGGACATAAACGCGAGTGAAGTCTAACCGGACGCGAGAGAGAGATCAGAGATCAGATCAGCTGCTGCTGATGGAGAACACGCAGCTCTGCATGATCACAGCTCCGCCGCTGTGACGGACCGGTGAGCGGACCAAAATACACTAAGAGTTAGACCTAACACACTTAGCTAGTTAATCGACTCTGGAACTAGCTAAACTAGTTATAAATATATGTATTCGCTTTGGACAAAAGCGTCAGCTAAATGCAATGTAATGTATTCTTTACTGTCGGGTCACTTATTACAGGTTCAGCGAGCTGCACGAGACTGACGGGCTGTCAGGAGAGGGAGAGGAAAAGAGAGCAACCCGTTTATTGTTCCCATTTTATTATCCAGAATTACTGTATATCTTTGAATAAAGTAGTTAATCTACTATTAGTAGTTTGTTTAAATGCATTAATTATGTTTTCTTTTTTCATTAACATAAAATAAATCTCACGTACCCCCTGCAGTACTCCAACGTACCCCTAGGGGTCCGCGTACCCCCATTTGAGAACCACTGCTCTACCCCACTCAGGGCTGTTTTTATTGTTTTTATTTTGTTGTAAAGCGTCTTTGAGCACTGGGAGTAGCACTGTATACATTTGATGTATTCCTATTGTTACTATTCATTAATATCTCTCCTTCACTGTCTCTCCTCTGTAGGCGGGGCCAGAGTTCGTGCCCACTGCCTCCTGGTTGGCCATGGTGCTGAACACTCTGCTCAGCATCAGCAGCTACCGGCCCTCAGGACAGGTGTTCCCATGGTTCCTGCACGTGAGTCTCAGATACTGTAAATGTATACCAGGTCACAGCAGATAGTCCTTCTGAAGTTTGAATCCAGTGTTCAATCTTACTCTTGATATACCATTGAGGCTTAAAATACAAAACCATTAACATCACCTCTTAATATGTATATTAAATCAATGTAACAACAAGGGTTAGTCATGCTTGATAAGGTGATGTTGGTTGTTGCATCATGACAAAATGAAAAAATACATTTAAGTATTCACATTTTAATTCCTTCAGTTTGTACACATTTAAAATCCCCACATATTGTATATTCATCACATTTCAAATTCACTTTAAAGTGAGTAAACCAGACTATTTTGAACATTAATAATTGTTTTCTTTTTTTCTTTTCAAAAGTAGCCTACTAACTTAAAGGGGACCTATCAAGCAAAATGCACTTTTGTACGTCTTTTATTCATGAATATGTGTCCCCGGTGTGTCAGGGAACTCACCAAGTGTCAGAAAACACGACCCTCTCTCTTTTCCTCCATACCCAAATCTCTAAAAACGGGGCTTTAACAGATCTGATACAGACTGATCCAGATTTGAAAATAGTCTGACGTCAGGAACGAGGAGCTTCGCCTATATGGGCAACTCTCCACCAATCAAGGGAATGAGAGGTTGCCGTGGCATGGTAACAGCATGGTAACAGCATGGTAACAGCATGGTAACAGCATGGTAACAGCATGGTAACAGCATGGTAACAGCATGGTAACTGCATGGTAACAGCATGGTAACAGCATGGTAACCGCATGGTAACCGCATGGTAACAGCATGGTAACAGCATGGTAACAGCATGGTAACAGCATGGTAACAGCATGGTAACCGCATGGTAACAGCATGGTAACAGCATGGTAACAGCATGGTAACAGCATGGTAACAGCATGGTAACATGACGTCGTAACTCGGCCCCTTCCTTTGAAGGGGGCGTGGTCAGCTGCAGCTCATGCAAAGACAGGGTGGAGGAGAGCAAAATGAGGCATGGCTAAAATGCATGATCTGTTTGGTATTTTGAAAAAGAAAACGTATAAATATACCTTATATAGGTATGGCCCTACAATATATTATTCAAATATAGCATGATAGGTCTCCTTTAAATAGTTATGGAAAATAACTGACACATCAATAATATAAAGAATGCCTTGTTGTTGTTCTCTTACTTACAGGCATCATTGTATGCTTTGTCTCTCTGTGAACATCTAGTCCAAATGTTGTCTGATCATTATCTCCAGAGATACATGGGATTAGGCTGCAGGCCCCCTTCAAAGGAGCCCAAATGTTCAAGGTTCCAAATAATTTAGTAGGAAAGATTTTGTATACAACCATCCATTTCATAAAGTACAAATATTAAAGTACTGAAAGAACATGGTTGTGCTTTGTTCTAATTCGGGTAGGGGTATCTCAAAAACGAAAGCCTTTTTGGGGGGTTTGTTCCTCTACTATATATGTTATTCTCTGACTTGTAATGTATAGATTACTGGAATACACTGCTGTGTTGTTTGACTGGCAGAACCAATCAGTTGTCCCCTCCTCGCCCCCTGTACAGCGCTCCTACTCGGGGGAGAACACGGCGAGCGCAATCGCCCGCTCCTGTGCCAGCCTGGCCCTGTCCCTGCTGGTCCCGGTGCTGGTGGTGTGGCAGAGGGAGGGGCTGCTCCAGGTCCTGTCAGCGCTGCAGGCCGGGCTGCCGGGCTCCAGCTCCGCAGAGGACTCCCAGGCCCTGCAGTTCCACTCCGGCCTGGCGCTGGGCATGGTGCTGTCCAGCCTGCACCAGCAGCGCCTCAGGTCTGTGGGGGTGACGCAAACACACGTTGTGACCAGAGGGGGGGCTCATTTTAGTTCAGGGGCCACATACTGCAAAATCTGATCTGTTCACATTTAATGAACTATCATTTTACAACACATTTTGAACATCCTGAAATGTATTCAGAAAAATAAGTGTAATTTCAACAATATCATTCCTCAGTTTATCATTTACACATTCATTACAACTCACAGATCTCAGTATCTGGGGAACAATATAGTATTTTACTTTATGATCAAAACTACTTTGTAGGTTCAGTAATCCCACTTCCTTGAGAATATATAACATTTCAATTAATTTAATTAAACTGTATTTACAGTTAATGTATTTTCTGTAATTTTTCATCCCGCCAGATTGCACCCTCTGGAGGGCCGGTTTTGGTCCGCGGGCCTTATGTTTGACACCCTTGCTGTAACCCATCCTTAATACTCTGTCTCTCTCTGCTCTGCAGTGATGTCTCGGTCCAGAAGGACACTGATGTCCTCCGCAGCGCTCTGGACGCTCTGGAGGGCAGCGCCTTCAACCCCGACCTGGAGTACAAGTCAGTGCTGAGCCCTGACACGTGATGTGAAGTGGGGGAAATAATATTCTGATTCTTTACTTCATGCATAGAAGTCCTAAAATCACACAGTGAACATTCAAGTTGAATCAGAAATCCTGTATTCGTCTCACAGCAAAGGGACAACGCAGACTAGCTTAAGATAAGATAAGACTTTATTTATCCCGAAGGAAATTGTTGTGCCGAGTTACAAAAATACAATAAACACAGCAGCATACTAGTAAAACTGTACACTAACAGTGCAGTATAAAGAGCAATTACATATCTACAGGAAACACAGACGGTCACATGATTAATGTAAATATTAACTTATATGCAGTGCTGAAAGAAGTACTCACATCTTATACTTAAGAAGAAGTCCTAATAAAGCAGTGTTTGCTTTATTAGGACTAAAGCAAACACTTGTGGACTCAAGTCCTGCATTCAAAATGATACTTAAGTAAAAGTACAAAATAATTTGCATCAGAATATATTTAAGTACCACATCTAAAAGTGCTTGTTATCCAAAGTGGCAATTTTTTAAATAATATTAGTTGGATTAATAATTGATTCATGTGTGTCTATCATGTTGAGTTACAGCTGGTTAAGGATGAGAGAACATTGATAACTAGTATCTCCATCCATAACAGAACATCATAGTGTATTAGTTGATTTCATGTTTGTATTAATAATATAAACCTGCAAAAGTAATTATTAACATTTGCTGCCAAAGTGTAGTGGAGCAGAAGTATGAAGTAGCATAAAATGAAAATACTCGGGTAAAGTACAAGTGCCTGAAAAATGTACTTAAGTGCAGTGCCGAGTACTTTTCCATAGTTACTTTCCACCACTGCGTATATGATAGAGGCCAACCAGTAGGGAATAACAATACAATACAAAGAATGCACAAAAGCTACAACATGTGACTTTACAATGAACCCAGCGTTCTGACCTGGAGTCTCCCCCCCCCCCCCCCCCTCAGCACGGGCTGTGTGCTGGGCCTGGGTCTGGTGCTGGCCTCTATCTGCAGCAGTGGACTGACGGAGCAACAAGTCCACGTGTCCCAGACCCTGGACAGACTGCTGTCCACCCTGCAGGACAGCAGCGGGCAGGGGCGCATGCTGCAGGAGGTACACCCCCCCCCCCCCTCTCAGAGTGTTTGCTGTCCTTTGATAAGACAGTGTTTGTTATTTTGTTTCCTTCTTCAGTTAACAGTATGTTTTTCTCTTTTGGTGCAAGTTTGCTTTTTGAGGAATGTTTTTTTAAATCCTTAAAATAAGAGACAACTCACCTGTGGATGCTTCATAGTTTGTTCAGGTTCTCCCTTTCTATAATCACGAACAATGTTATATATTTGTACATATTGTGGCCAATTTGCACTCACTCACAGGATATATTTGAATATAAAGCTACTGTGACCAATTGTTGTATGTAAATAGTTTATACATTATACATATATATTTATACAGTATGTTATATGTTTAGCAGATTGGTGTACAAGAGAGTATTCTTATTTATTCTGTATATGTTATAGTGTTTATAAACTCTTCTGAATATATTTATTTTCTACTGAGGATATGTATAGCATAACAGATGTGGAGCAAGCAGGCTGAAGGTGTATGGTATACTTTAGATAAAGAAAGCCTGAATTCTTATCAGAAAAATATGTGTTGTTGTGTATTATCCTTTTTGTCTTTGAACATGTGTGCATCCGGCAGGTATTGGCGTACTCTGTGGCGTGTGTGTGTGTGTCGGCCTTCAGTGCAGACATCATAGACGCTGCCAAGGCTGAGGAGGTCATGACCTCTCTGCGCACCCTGACCGAGGAGAGCCAGCAGGTCAGCAGCACCATTACTGAGAGATCATGCCATAAAATCCACTGAGTTATAGCAGTTTAATGTATATTCCAAAAGGCATTGTTTGACTTTGTAAACTGTACAAATTAGAGAAGACATTAATTGCAATTTTCACAACTTTTATGTATTTTGAATGTATACATTTTATACATTTACAAAGGCAGGGTGATAACCTAACCTTCTTCCTCACTAGTTCCCACTGTAGTTAGTATGGTGGTGGTACACCTATTTATCTTAAGGAATGTCAGGTTGTTCATAATGTTTTGTAAAAAGATAGTTAATTAAATGTGAACATTTTCAGAATGTACTTTTTTGCACTCAGACAAAGGGAAGGAGTTGTGGTAACTCGGAGGTTATTATGCAGTGATGTCACTGCTCCGGCCCACTGGGGATCAGATTTGTCTGCATGTGTCCCCTGAACCAAAATGAGCCCCCCTGTTCTAACCCCTGTGTCTCTGTGCGTTGTAATGTTCTGTCCAGACCCCAGGCTTCTCCCTGGCTCTGGGGCTGGTGGTGCACGGCCTGTCCATGTCCGGCCACGGGAAGGCCGAGGACATCCAGCCCCGCCTGCTGGCTGCCTGGGTGAAGATTCTCCTGGCAGAGGTACTACGTCTTTTGAATTCTTTTCCTATGTACTGCTGCTCTATATACAGGGGTGGGAAGTAATGAAGTACAAATACTTTGTTAGTGTACGATGTAGATGTTCTGGTATCAGTACTTTACTCCACTATTTATTTTCAGGCTCATTCATTTATTTTTAATCTGCATTCGTGGCATGATCATCATTAGTCATTGCTCTCCTATTTCCACCCTGATGTCATACAGAAAACACGATCGGTGCATTCATCATGTCTTGGTTTCCTCTAAAGAAGAGGGACCAATGGCAGCTTAGCTCAAACTGTGCCAGTAGCCTATGAAGCTATTTCAACGGGGCAAGGCAGAAAGTTAGGGAAGAGGCAGAGACAGGTGAAGTTATTGAGATGACTCAGGACAGAGACGTGGGAGGCTGTGGCTCAGTGGATAGAGCGTTGGTGTTGGGATCAGGGGAGCACAGGTTCAAACCCCACAGCAGTCAGCATGTCGTTGTGTCCCTGAGACCCTTCACCCCAAAGTGCTCCTGTGGGGATTGCCCACAGTACTGAGTATGTGAGTCGCTTTGGATAAAAGTGAAAAAATGAAAATGTAACATTCCTAATGACCCACGGCCATATATGAGGGAGATGTTCTATAAAACAGATGGTAGTTATGGCTACTTTTTACTGAAGAACATTTCAAAGCCCATACTTCTTTGTTTTTACCTGAGTAAAGACGTTTAGTCAGTACAACTTTTACCAGAGTACTTTTAAACAGAGTACCTGTACTTCTACTTGAGTCTAATTTTACCCTCTCTGATTAGATCATGTATTTACTACATCTCTTCAAGGGGGGCGTCTCATAGTGAAGAATTTCTCTCACTTGATGAAAACGCTTATTCTCAATCAATCAGCTGATTATTTTAGGAATAAAAAAAAAAAAGTGTAAGGTGATGTCTTAAATGATTTATTATTAAATGAAGCCGTAAAAAGCTGATTTGTTTTCTTCTTTGGAGAATGCACAATAATCAACATTCAAAACAGGCTTGTTTTCACTAACAGTCCATTAGCCTGTTGTTGTGGGGCCTCTTAAAATACAATGAATAACCATATCATTGAACATGAAACATTACTCAAACGATTAATCATTTATCAAAAAGTAACCGATTATTTTCCTGTTGATCGAAGTCAACTAATCGATGGAGGTCTTATTCCTTTAAGACAGGCATCCTCAAACTACGGACTCCGGTCCGGATCCGGACCGAACCACCACTGTCTCCGGACTCTGAGCAAATTATACTTTTCATATGTATGATCTCTCTGTATTATATGTGAGACATCGCCACAACGCATTCGCAACGAGTCAAAATTCTCCGCTATGTCCACTGCAAACAGCGCTCTGCATGTCTGACTGTTCCACTGTGTTCCACCTGTGTGTGTCAACGCTTTGGTCCAATCACATTCAGCATCCAGTCAGCGTTTTTTCCCCCCAAACAATCTGCGAATCAGAGGCACAGTAGGGCGGGTCTTCGCGGACTGCGGGTGGGAAAAATGTGTGTGTCTCTTTCAACCTGTCTAAGTCAGAGCGAGAATTTAAAAAAAAAAATTCAGAGCGAGAGTTAAGAGCTCATCTAGTTCCATCTGTACTGTAGCTAGTAGCCTAGTTTCACCTACCGGGGTGGCAACTGACACCCTAAAAATAGGCCTTGCCACCCTAGCTGCCACCCCAGTTGGCAGCTTTGTTTTGAAAGAAAAGTTGTGGCTCATCGGACATTTATGAGAGAAAGTCTCTAATGTCCGAGTGCAAGTGAATGCAGCACAAGATGCACGTCATGTAACCCCTCCCCCGGTCCTGGCGCGAGCGTGGACATATGATTGGCGGCGATTTCATTTTGAACTGGACGGCGCAAAACGAGAAGCATTCGGACCCAAGCACTGAAGGAATGAGGTATTTGCGGTCTACAATGACAGAGAAGAGACTGTCAGTTTGACTGTACTCAGCATTCAATCAAAACGCACTAAAGCTGTTGATCTTAATACGTTTGTGAGGCGTTTCGCTGAACAAGATGGTAATCGCCGCATTCAGCTGTAATAGACATGTCAACTTGATGCTCTGCTCACGGATGAGCATACACAACTATTAAGATGATGACCTTACGTGTGTAAATATATTTTTTCTTTGAGGGGGTCTGCCCCCAAAAAACAGTTTTATGTCCTGAGAAAGTCAAATCAGACGGTGTGTAAAACTACACTGCCCAGCCAAAAAAAAGTAACCACTTTGATTGAACTAGGCCAGTAGGTAAGGACTTTCCACTGGATAATAACTGCAGTATAAAAGAATGCATGACTGAAGTGATGGAGACCATGTTGAAGGCAAACAAAAAGAGGAAATAACAGGCCAAATCAAGCAAATCTCCCTCTCAGATTCCACAGCAACCAGAAGAACAGAAATACTGGCTGGTGATTTGATTCATCAGCTTTGTGATGGAATAAAAAATGCACAGTGCATTTCCTTAGCTGTGGGTGAGTCCACTGACACCACTGACAATGCTCAGTTGCTGGTGTTTGTGAGTTGTTATGATGAGGCAAAGGGGGAGTTTGTTGAAGATGTGTTGGGCCTGACGAACCTCAGTGGACACACAAGGGGGCAAGACATTTATAAAGCAATAATGGGAATGCTGAATGAAAGAGGGTGCAGCTGCCTTTATTCATAACTGTGCAGCTCTTACACTGCGACTCTGAGGGGTCAAGCACAGACACAATAACAATGAAAACTGCTGCATACAGATTATTTTTGTTTTTGCAACCTGGAGTTAAGAATCTTGTTGCAATTGTTTAAAAGTTTGAATGACCGTAATAAACGGACCTTTGTCTTATTGAAACATTTATTTTGGACCTTTAAGATTTGTATTTGAGTACCCCTGCTTTAAGACATCTGAAAGTAGCCAGGATTCCTGCTGTTTAAAGATTCAACTTTATCTGCAAAATAAATGTGCTTCCCCAATGTTCTGATTGGCTGTGTGTTTCAGGGCTGTCCCACAATGCAGCGGCTGGCTGCCGTCAACGGCCTGGTGGCGCTGGTGGGGTCTGAGAGCTACCTCTTCCAGGTGAGGAGTCCTTCAATGCTAAATGAAATATGATTTGATGAATAGTTGGAAGAGTTGTCTTGTATTATTGTGATGTTTCTTATCAGTGCCATGATCTTCAGACAGAAATTGCTACTAATTTCAAATCAACTTTCTGTTAGAGATTTATCTGGCAAGGTATTTATAGTTTTAAAACAAATGATGTCAATGTGGAGTATTGTCGTCCCCTGGTTGGTCCTCTTTTCTTTTGTTCCACTTTTGATGTATTTGTTGCCTGAAAATGAAAGGCTCTTACACTTAAGATGTTGGTGAGATAACAAAGAGCAGGTTTTTGAACTGTGCCATACTTAATGGATCATAACAGAATGGAGTATAGAACTAATCTACAGATGCTCCTGTTTGAAATAAGACCAAATGTATCACTTTGTTGAGACACACCAAGGCCAAAATGTGGTCTGCAACTGCTGAGGTAAGTCACCTGAGAAGGTGATGAGTCAGCAGCCAATGCTGACATCTGTTAATGAAATAGGTTTACCCCCGGGGGAGACGATGATAGTGGCCGTTTCTCAATGTCGAGTATACCTGCTGCAGAGCCACTATTTCAAGTATACTACGTCATCGTGTATGACATAAAGTTGCTCTCATTGGTGAGTTTCTTCCTCTACTGTCAGTGTTATTGGCCGCTTGTCTCGTTGAACAGCAAACCGGTGAGCTGGAGCTGTCCTCTCCGCAGCAGAGCCGCCTGAACCAGGTGATCCGAGCCGTCACACAGGTACGGAAACATCTTCAAAGGTTTCACCTTCCCTCTCTAATTATTATTTCTGAATACTACAAGATGTCAGAAGTCATTTCAGAAATGGACACCATTTGACTATAATAATAATAATAATAATAATAATTTCAATTTATATAGCGCCTTTCACGAAACCCAAGGACGCTTTACAATGGGAAGTAACAAAACAAAAAGTAATAATAATCATACAGATACATAGGCTGAAGAAAACAAAACAGGAACAGGTTGCTGGGTACTGTATATTAGTTGAGGCCAAAGGCCTGAGTGAACAGATGGTGTTTGAGGTGTTTTTTGAAGGTGACTATACTGTTGATTCCAATAGATATCTCTATAGATATACAGTACATCCTTCACTTTGATATGTATACACGTACTACCTTCCTGTTGATATGTATATCTTTACTGTTTTTTAATGTTCTACTTGATGTTACCTTTAATCCATGTGCGATGTCTTATCTACCTGCTGCTCAGTTGAAAAAATGTCACAAATTGTGCTGAATAAAGTCCACCTGATGTTTGTGCAGATCATCACCTTCTCTGGAGCCATCGGCCTGCAGTCCAACAGCGCCTGTCTGCTGGGACACCTGCAGCTGGCCCACATGTCCACCAGTCACAGCCACACAGCAGGTAGGAGCACAATCTGGTGTCTGTGGATAAGATGAGGAGCTGTGATATATCTGTCTCCATGTCCTCCTGTCCTCAGTTCCTCAGGACTTCAGTTACCTCTCAGAGAAAAGTCTCCTCAGATCCATCATTGACTTCATCACAGAGGCAGGAAGAAAAGGTTTGTTGATTCATTATATTTCCTTCCAATCAGTGTGTCTGTGGCGATTTTGTCTACAAATATGTTTGTTTAATAAAGTTGAACTAAATAGAATGTGGGGAACAAGTGCTGGTGGAATTGCTTTGTTTTATTTCTAATGTGTTCTCTTTGACGTTAAAATGATTCCTGTCAGAAACTCTTTCCCATCTGTTATTTAAGAAAAAAGGATTGTGGTCTAAAGGTATTACAACAGAGGAGAAATGATATCACACTTAGAAATTGAATTTCCAGAGTGTATCTTTCTTGTTGCCTCGTGGGGCTTCAGTGAAAATGATACTTTAAGCTATAATACCGCTTTATTTGTAAAGCGCTTTCCATGCACCAGGTGCAGCTCAAAGAGCAACATGGCACACATCACACATGAAAACAGAGAAGAACAAACAAAAGATTAAAAGAGGGAGTGTCGCTAATAAAACACTTTTTTATATATTTAAATAAAACGTATTAAACCGTTGAAATAAATAAAACAATATAAAAATAATATATAATGAAAATCAAAACACCATTTAAAAGGGGTTGCAAATAAAATAAAAATCTAAAAAGAAGTGTCGTTTAAGAAAGTCCACTGAGTGAAATAGATTTATATATATATTGCTGCCTCTGCTAGAACTTTCTTCTTGCTTTTATGAATCTCCAGGTCCAGAGTTTTCCCCTCCATCTCTGGTGAAGACGGCTCTGACCCCGTTGGCCTCCGTTGGATCCAGTTTCCAGTACCCCCCCATCAACTGGAGCGCCGTGCTGTCCCCTCTGATGAGACTCAGCTTCGGTAAGTTCTCTGAAGAGTTCTCTGAAGAGTTCTCTGAAGAGTTCTCTGAAGAGTTCTCTGAAGAGTTCTCTGATGTTCCTGAGGAGGCCGACCCCCTCTCACGTCTGGTTCCTCCCCAGGAGAGGACGTGCAGCACCAGTGTCTGTGCCTCGCATCCTGTCAGGCTCAGACTTCCCAGAGTGCATCTCTCTTCCTGGGCTCCTGGCTGGCCCCACCTCTTGTGCACAGCCTCAGTGTAAGTTCTTCTTGAGTAACATTTGACATTGAAGTAAGTGCTTTTTGCGTGTAGAAGTTAATCATTCGACCAATTAATTAATTCAAACTTAATATTTTCACATTCTATTACCCGTTTTTTCAGATGAAGGAAAAACATGTTACTTAGAAAAATGATCCTAGTAAAAAAAAACTTTTTCTCCACCTATTTCACAGATGAAATGTATTATAAGGAACTTAGAAAGACAATTCTGGCTATAATTATAATTATCTAGGGGAACCTAGACATAAGATGCACGCTTTAATCTCCAGCCCTCCCGTTGGACCTGACTCTGGTGATGTCTCTCCCCCCCAGCTCCTGACCCGGGCCCACCTGTATGAGGGTCTGGGTCTGTGGATGAAGCATGTGGCTGAGGACAAGCTGCAGGTCCACACAGAGAGTCTGGGTCTGCAGCAGTTCCAGGACGACCTCCGACCCCAGCGCCTGGCCCTGTGCCGCTCCCTGCTGCAGGGCCTGGCTCAGGCCATGGCCCTCCCCAACCCCCCCAACAGCTGCTGGACCCTCCTCTGCTCCACCACGGAGAAGATCTTCTCCCTGCTGCCCAACCACATCCAGGTACAAGGCTGGAAACGTTGTCATTGGTTTTATTCCACTCATGGTCATTATTTCAAAACAAAACATGTACAATTAAAGCAGTTTTTAGTAGCCCATGATGGAAAGGAGCAGTGAGAAGAAAGTCTGTCTTGGTTTACACACCAACTGAAGCTTCAACTTCTTACTTATCTATCTGGCCGGAACAATTCAACTGTAAAATGTCAAATGTATTATCTCTTCAATTTACACACGGCATCTATTGCACGTCTGTCCGTCCTGGGAGAGGGATCCCTCCTCTGTTGCTCTCCCTGAGGTTTCTCCCATGTTCCCTTTAAACTGTGGGTTTTCTCTGGAAGTGTTTCCTTGTACGATGTGAGGGTCTAAGGATAGAGGGTCTAAGGACAGAGGGTGTCGTATTGTCATACTGATATTCTGTACACACTGTGAAGTCCACTGAGACAAATGTAACATTTGTGATATTGGGCTATATAAATAAACATTGATTGATTGAACTGCTTTCCAACTCATTACCAGCCACTAATTCAGGTTTCTTTTGTACGAAACTAAGTTGAATGTACAACCAAACAAGTTTGAGACCAACATTTCCACTGCTTCAGCTCTTACATTAAACACATCAAATATTTTCAGTGCCTCAACTTCCAATCCCATACAACCGCTCTCATGCAAACAGTTAAACATTTTAGGACACAGAGTACTGCATCAGCTGTGATTCCAGAGCATTCACAAAGATTCCTTCTGCTTTTGTTCAGGATCATGAAGTGGATTTGTATGTGGGAATCGCCAAATGTCTGTCTGAGATGTCTGATGCAGAGATCGACCGGATCACGAAAGTAACCGAGGTACATTATAAATGTGACAGGGTTAAGGAAAAAGAAAATACATATGCTAACCATTGCTGAGATAAATGTTATAGTGTATTGCTTGTGTCTTAAATACAGTGAGTATTTTAATTCTTGTTTTGGTCTGGTACAAGCTAGAATTGCCCCCTGTAATGCTGGACATAAGTTGTATAACACATACTCTGTTGTGAATATAATCCTATAAATGAACTTTGCTTAGACCAGCAAAACAAAACAAATCTGAAAAGTTGGATATTTCTCCCATGCCTGTGAGCTCTGTACAAAGCTCAAGCTGGAGTCGGGGTGGTTAGCCTGGCTTAACATAATGACTGGAAGCATAGGGAAACTATGAAACTGCTAGCCTGGCTCTGTCAAAAGTAAAAAAAGAAACCTACAAAACTGGCTGGGTAAACATGTTGTCTTCTCTCTGTTCTGTACAATGCCTTAACGCCATGAATTGTAGAAGAAAGTGTCATTCTGATTGCTTCATTTATTTGTTTGCCGAAACTACGATAAATGAGAAGTGGTGCATGCAGGTGCTTAGCAGCCTGCCACATGAATATGTTGACACTATTTTGGGGAGCAAAAAGAACACTGTACATTTGTAAAATAAAATGAATACTGTAGTAAATAAAGCTTTGTGCTGTTAAGGCTCAGATGGAGAAGACCTGCTTCGTGCTGGCCTACCTGACCTCCCAGGGCAGAGTCCCCCTGCTGGGGCTCAATGACGTCATCGCGGGGGTGCTCCAGGGCTGGCCCCAGCGCAGAGTCGGCTGGCTCCTTCTGCAGACCTTCTACCAGTGTCGCCTAGCAACCAACCCTAACACAGGTCAGGAATAAGTCAGCTCTTTATGCGTTCACATCATACAGGAAAGTGACAAAACATACTATCCATTAAAGAGAAATTATAATGCTTATTTTAAGGTTCATACAGCCAAAGGTTTCTACGAAAACATCTATAGATGCTTAAATGTTTGATTAACACATTTTATTTTTCTTAATACACCTGTATTTCTTATTCTGAAACGCTCCGTTTTTGCGCCCGTCTCTTTAAGGGGTCTTATGAAGCAGTTATTTCTGATTGGCTTGTAGTTTCAGGTAGTTCTTAAGCCTTGGGTAGAGGTACTGGACGGTGGGAGACTTCATGTGAGATTTGTAATCTGAATGTCTAATCTGAATGATTGATCTAATGTTTTCTTAGCTAGGAAGCCCACAGATTGCTTGTCTTACTTTACAGTTGGTAGGCACACCAGATAGAAATGTATGTTAAAAATGTATTTTTTACAATTACTGAAGGTATATTTTTTATGATATTTCCCCTTTTAAGTTTCAAGTTCTTAAAAAAAGGCTATTTGTAATGCGACCACTAGGTGACACCAAAGTCAATAATTTCACACTGATTTATTTATTAGCAAACAACACAAAGAATGACTACATTTATTTGTTCTGCATGCAAACCAATAGTGTGTCATCATTTTTACAGTTTCTTGATTTCCATCTCTAAGCGAATCCACAGTTTGAGTTGTTTCTGTTGTTCTAGGCGTTTCCAAACGAATGGAGTGGCTTCTGGAGCTGATGGGACACATCCGAAATGTTGCCTACGGTGCAACCCCCGTCACATGTGGAGACACGAAACAGGTATGTGTGTCAGCCCTGCTGCAAACTGCAGGGTGATTTCTGATAGAGCTGGCAGTGTTTAGATGCTACAGTTACAGCTATTTCAGCATGCAGGTGTAAAGCTCGGGAAATCTGCCATTGCTGGGGGGGTTGGAATGCAGCCCAGGTCTTGTCAGGCCTGTCCACTAACTTTTCTCAAATACAGGTTTTACACTGAAGTACGTCATTTAAAGTGAAATCAACATCAAATGGACAGTCATGGTCTGGGCAATACATCACTATTATATCGATATAGTGATATAAGACTAGATGTATTCTAAGATGTGGAGATATCGCGTTATGGTGCCTTTTTCTAGTTTTAAATGCTGCATAACAGTAAAGTGATGTCATTTTCTAATTTGTATTATGTGTCTTTCCCTGCCCAGTCATTATATCCACATAACCAATGATTATTTATCAAGTCACATTTTGTAAATATGTATTGAAAGTATCAAAAGTCAACCGTACATATTGTCGCAATATTGAGATTCGGGTATTTGTTAAAACATTTTGTGTTATTTGATATACTTATCATAATAATTATAATCAGATCAGAAATCCTTTATTTGTCCCGCAACGTAACCGCCAAATGTTACAAATTCATTTGGATTGCGTTTTGTTTCCAGTTTATCTGAACTCAGGCCTTATTTTCGTAGTTAGTGACGCTGATAATTGTAAACATATTAACATCACTACAATAATGACCAGTGTTGAAGCTACACTACTTGTCGGGCAGATTGTAAATGTCACTACCACCACGACAATAGCTAGTACTATAAAAAGACTTAAGAGGCAATAATAAATCTGAGTTATTGTTTCTAAACTCAGATTTCTTGTGTTGTTGTGCAGGCCACACATTTCCTGTTCCAGGTGTTTGCTGCAGCTGTGGTTTCCTGGGGGGACCACTCCATGCCCCTCCTCTTTGGCATTAGGGCCCAGTGGTTCCCGTGGCAACCCGGCTCCAAGCCCCAAACCCTACAACACGTGTCTGTACGGTGAGGAGTCCTCCACTGACCAACGCCCTGGCCGCAGTGCATGCTGGGATGCCCCACAGCCTGGCTCTGCTTCTGAACAAAGAGCCTGGAGCAGCCAGACACACAAGGTGAGGGTGTTCTCTACTTTGATTTACAAAACAAATGACCTCACTGTGGGGCTCCTTTTGGTGTGTGTGTGTGTGTGGTGTGTGTGTGTGTGTGTGTGTGTGTGTGTGTGTGGGTTGTGTGTGTGTGTGTGTGGTGTGTGTGTGTGTGTGTGTGGTGTGTGTGTGTGTGTGTGTGTGTGTAGGTGTGTGTGTGTGTGTGTGTGGTTGTGTGTGTGTGTGGTGTGTTGTGTGTGTGTGTGTGGGTGGGTGTGTGTGTGTGTGTGTGTGTGTGGTGTGTGTGTGTGTGTGTGTGTGTGTGTGTGTGTGTGTGTGTGTGTGTGTGGTGTGTGTGTGTGTGTGTGTGTGTGTGTGTGTGGTGTGTGTGTGTGTGTGTGTGTGGTGTGTGTGTGTGTGTGTGTGTGTGGTGTGTGTGTGTGTGTGTGTGTGTGTGTGTGTGTGTGTGGCATTCCTCTCCCTGTGGGGGACCCTACATCTGTTTATACAGTCACGTGTGGGGACTCGCCTCCCTTATGGGGACAAATTGGAGGTCCCCATGAGGGGAATCATTCATTTTAGGGTGAAGACTTGGTAAGGGTTAGGCATGTGTTGGTTATGGTTAAGGTTAGGATAAGTCTCCAGGAAATGCATGTAAGTCAATGTAATGTCCCCTGAAGTGATGTATACATTGTGTGTGTGTGTCAGTTCATAGACTGGCTTTTCAGCATCACAGAAGGTCCTGGACAGAGTCTGTCGGCCACAACCATCAGCTCAGCCAAAGGTAACAGAAAAAGAAACACAACATCGTACATACACAGTTTTGAAATGTATATCCATAAAGCTGAGGAGACGATAGGGTTTCAAAGGTTGTTATTAAATTCACTCAACAGAAATGTCTCTGTCCATGTAACAGGATTTATTTTAGTGCTGTACCATGACAGTACCCTGCTGCTCTCAGGGACCGACAGTGACGTGCTGACTCATGTCCATTAAAGTCTGTCAGGCTTGTAACGAGGCCAAAGATGTACACCAAGTTATAAAGTGGTGCAGTGATGCGTATGTACAGTATGTATGTAGGCTGACCCAGAAGTTAGCAACGCAAAGGCTCTCTCAAAAAGCAGCAGGATGTTCCATTAGAGTATTGCAGGAAAACAGATCTGTGGCATGTTTATAATGCTTACTTGATTTCCTCAACAGGATAATCTACACATAAAAACACGTATTTTATGATTTTAAAAGTGTAAATGAAATTGGAAGAATAAAAAACCTTAAGTAAAAACACACTACTTCAAGGTCACATGACTTCACGTCACCAAGGCGGCTAATGTTAGGCGTGAGGACATTTAGTCACTTGTTAGCAACCACAGTTTTTATGACATATAGAAGCTTCGGACATTCACCAGTAGGGAATATACTGACGTATTTAATGTTGTAGAACAAAATATCTCTTCAGCTCGTGTTAAAGGACACCTATCATGCTATATTTAAATGATATATTGTAGGGCCATACCTATATAAGGTATATTTATACGTTTCTGTTTTCAAAACACCAAACAGATCATGCATTGTAGCCATGCCTCATTTCGCTCTATTTGCTGTTCTCCAGCTCTGTTTTTGCAGGGGGCTGAGCTGCAGCTGACCACGCCCCCCTGCAGCTGACCACGCCCCCCTGCAGGAGAGGGGAGCGTGCTCTGATCAAGTCAGTAGAGGGGGAGAAAAATAGATCTCCGTCCTCCGTGTTTTATTCTTATATGATTATATAGAGTCGTTATTCATTTGTTTTAAAGCTCAATAAATAACAAAGAAGACCTTTGACCGGCACTTTTTCTAATTTTGTCCGGACGATTTAAACTTTAACGGACATGTTGACCGGCGAAGAAAAATCTAACTGAAACTCTGCCGCACGGTTCCCTCGTTCCTTGGAAGAGGCGGAGAGGTGGGTGTTTGTCATCTGCTGGTGGCAAACCGGAGAGAATTACAGCGCTTGCCTCGACGGGGAGGGATTGCATTGAATTACAGCAGCGGGAGCAAACGCTTGCCTCGGGGAGGGAGAAAAAGAGCCACAGCGGAGAATAAACAGAAGGGCAACCATGCGCGGGAAGTCTTCTTCGCTGCTTTTGTGGCAGACTACAGCGCCACTTACAGGCCTGGCATATGTACTACAGCGTCTCCAGCGCAATGGTTGGCCGTGGCCCAACCTCTCATTCCCCAATAGCCGTAGTGCCACCGTCCTGACGTCAGGACAGTGTTCATATCTGGATCAGTTTTCATCAGATCCGTTGCAGCCCCTTTTTTAGAGATTTGGGTATGGAGGAAAATAGAGAGGGTTGTGTTTTCTGACACTTGGTGAGTTCCCTGACACACCGGGGACACATATTCATTTATAAAAGATGTACAAAAGTGCATTTTGCATGATGTCCTCTTTAAGACAAGGGAACGTCATTTCTGGGTTTTAGGACTCACTGCTGAACCACTCTATTGGAGATGAAAAAGATCCCTATTTGTATTGTCTTAGCTGCCATTTTACTAAGAGAGCTATGAAGGATAATGGATTGAAATTCGACTCCAAACAAAACTAAATAACACTAAATAAAACCATACCGGTCACCATGCAAAAGATGGTCTTTGTAAATGTTTAATGAGGAATGAAATGCATTCACCCTGGATGTTGGGCATCCAGGGTCAAATATGTAATGTAAACTGTTAACAGAAAACTCCACAGGGAAACACTGAGGCTGATTGTTAGGACACTGAGACATAACAAACACAGCACATAGAAGCCCATGCAGGTGGATTCACATCATGAATTCACAATAACAAACAACAATCTGTCACGGATGAAAAATGTGATCTTCCTTGTGTTCCAGCCGCCCTGCTGGCCCTCAAGTCCTCTGCCGAGTTTAAGAAGAAAGCCGTGTGGACCAGAGCGTACGGGTGGTAGCCCAGAGGAGCCATGACAGACTGTTACCGTGGCTACGCTTACAGGTGTTCTTCACAAATAAATGGCTGCAGTATTAATAAGCTCGGATGGCTGGACATGTGTGAGGCTCTCTGCATCAACATGGAGAAAGTGAAGCTCCACTTCATCTCATTCAGCCACATCAGAGGAATGTGCTCCAAAACAATATATTCCAATAAAAAGATCTTCAAACACACAACATATTTAATGATGTTGAATTTGATTCTATGGCTCTTCAGTTCAAGATTTTCTTTTCATTATAGTTTTAATTTAACAAACTTGCTAAAAAGTAACAGCACGCATGGTATTTTATCAAAAAATAAACTTCCTGAAGTGAGTCTTAACGTGTCATTTCATTTTCATTTTCATTTTCTTGTTCCATTTGCCCAGTTGGTGGTGTCTCTCCTTCAGGAGTTGCCAGACTGTCACAGTTGCCCCTAAAAAAAGACAAAATTGTTGTCAAAGTCAGGAAAAAAACTATGGTTGTTTGAAATGATTACCAAAAACAACTGCAACAAGATGGTTGTTACAAAAAGAATAATATGATGGTCATTATATAAAAGGAACCTCTGATTCCGTTTGCTGTTTATAAATCTACCCAATATGTATCTTTCTTTACATTTGTATGAGAGATTGCAATTGTGCTTCTTTTATGTATCTGCTTTGGTTTCAAATGCAACACAAGATGGTATAGAGCAGGGGTGTCAAACTCAAGGCCCGTGGGCCAAATCTGGCCCCCGCCTTCATTTTATGTGGCCCGCAAGAGCTTGCAAAGAATGTAATACGTTTATTATACTGTTACATGCCACTTTACAGAAGCAGGTTGCCCATGACCTACATGTCCCACAATGCATTTCGTTTTGTGACATGCACTGAAGAGACTTGCAAATATTTGCAATTATTTGCCCTAGACTTCTGCTTTCAGATGTAGTTAATTATGGAGTTATCACCCTATCCCATAATAATCCAATGCAGAGGCAATAATGTAATATAATACATTATTTTATTTATTTATATAGTCTTAAAGTTACAACCGGCCCTTTGAGTAATAATGCTGATGTGGCCCGCGATGACATTTAGTTTGACACCCCTGGTATAGTGATTAGTTAGGGGCCATCGCTTGTACACTACTGTTCACAATGCAAACATAAATGTATAAATATCTTTATATTTGGCATCTCTCGTCCTCCATACCTAGAGTGGCCTGTGCCTTCAGATTCTACAAAGACTGGAGGTTTGTTGGGAATAATTATTTTGTATGATTTATTTGGCAATCATCATGACAAAAGATAACAGTAATAACTTTCTAGAATCAAAAATCATTCTGCATAGTATTATAAACCACTGTAGTGGAAGAAGCTTGTGTTTTACCACAGTGCTGTTTTCAGTGTGAATGTTGGCTGACTTACCGAGAGCCAGAAAAGGCAGGTAGACCATGAGGAGGAAGGGAAGGTGAATCTGTGTTGAAAGTGTGGATTTCAGAGGGGATGAGTTCGCTGCTGTTGGCTCAACATGGAGCAGGACCTGGTAGATAGTGAAACCTGAGAAGATATAGACATTACATTACATTACATTTAGCTGACGCTTTTATCCAAAGCGACTTACAATAAGTACATTCGACCAGGAAGACACAACCTTGAAGAAAACAGAATCATATAAGTACATCAGGTTTCATAGAGCCAAACATTGCAAGTGCTACTCAACTGGCTTTAGATAAGCCAGTCCTTTATTAGTATATAAGTGCTTTGGTAATAGTTCTATCGCTCGAAGTGGAGTCGAAAGAGATGAGTTTTCAGTCTGCGCCGGAAGATGTGCAAGCTATCTGCCGTCCTGATGTCAATGGGGAGCTCATTCCACCATCTTGGAGCCAGGATAGCAAACCCACGTGTTTTTGCCGATGGGAACTTGGGTCCCCCTCGCAGCGAGGGTGCAGCGAGCCGTTTGGCTGATGCAGAGCGTAGTGCACGCGCTGGGGTGTACGGTTTTAACCATGTCCTGGATGTACGAAGGGCCAGATCCATTCGCAGCATGGTAAGCAAGTACCAGTGTCTTGAAGTGGATTCTAGCAGTTACCGGAAGCCAGTGAAGGGAGCGGAGGAGCGGAGTGGTGTGGGAAAATTTAGGAAGGTTGAAGACCAGACGAGCCGCTGCATTCTGGATGAGCTGCAGAGGTCGGATGGCACATGCAGGTAGACCAGCCAGGAGGGAGTTGCAGTAGTCTAGGCGTGAGATGACGAGAGCCTGGACCAGAACCTGAGTCGCTTTCTGGGTCAGCTGGGGACGTATCTTCCTGATGTTGTAAAGCGTGTATCTGCAGCAACGGGTTGTAGCAGCGATGTTTGCAGTGAAGGACAGGTTGTTATCTAGGGTCACACCCAGATTCCTTGCAGTCTGAGTCGGGGAAACAACTGAGGTGCCGATGTTGATTGTTAGGTCAAGAGTGGGACAATCTTTTCCCGGAAGGAAGAGCAGCTCAGTCTTGTCAAGGTTGAGCTTGAGGTGATGAGCAGACATCCACTGAGAGATGTCAGCTAGACAAGCAGAGATGCGTGCGACGACCTGGGTCTCTGAGCGGGGGAAAGGACAGAATTAATTGGGTGTCGTCAGCGTAGCAGTGGTATGAAAAATCATGCGGGCTAATGACTGATCCGAGCGACTTTGTGTACAGGGAGAAGAGGAGGGGACCAAGAACAGAGCCCTGAGGGACCCCTGTAGTTAATGGACAAGGGTCGGACTCAGACCCTCTCCAAGTCACCCTGTAGGTACGGTCTTTCAGATATGAGGTGAGGAGGGAAAGTGCAGAGCCTGAAACTCCAAGTTTTTGGAGAGTGCGAATTAAAACTGATTCTTCAAACCATTAAAGAGGCCATATTCTCCCTTTCCTGTAGTGTGTTCTAATCTATATGTGTGGTCTGGTTTCAGACAGAGGGTGAAAAGAGGTGCTGCAGCACAGGCAGTATGAGAAAAATAAAGAGCTTTTTGAACATTAAAGCATGGAGATATGTAGAGACACTACATACTGATATACACCTGAACATCAGCAGGAGAGGACTCTTTAAAGTAGAGACACTACATGCTGATATACACCTGAACATCAGCAGGAGAGGACTCTTTAAAGTAGAGACACTACATGCTGATATACACCTGAACATCAGCAGGAGAGGACTCTTTAAAGTAGATACACTACATACTGATATACACCAGAACATCATCAGGAGAGGACTCTTTAAAGTAGATACACTACATACTGATATACACCTGAACATCAGCAGGAGAGGACTCTTTAAAGTAGAGACACTACATACTGATATACACCTGAACATCAGCAGGAGAGGACCTCTTTAAAGTAGAGACACTACATACTGATATACCACCTGAACATCAGCAGGAGAGGACTCTTTAAAGTAGAGACACTACATACTGATATTACCTGAACATCAGCAGGAGAGGACTCTTTAAAGTAGAGACACTACATACTGATATACACCTGAACATCAGCAGGAGAGGACTCTTTAAAGTAGAGACACTACATACTGATATACACCTGAACATCAGCAGGAGAGGACTCTTTAAAGTAGAGACACTACATACTGATATACACCTGAACATCAGCAGGAGAGGACTCTTTAAAGTAGAGACACTACATACTGATATACACCTGAACATCAGCAGGAGAGGACTCTTTAAAGTAGAGACACTACATACTGATATACACCTGAACATCAGCAGGAGAGGACTCTTTAAAGTAGAGACACTACATCACTGATATACACCCTGAACATCAGCAGGAGAGGACTCTTTAAAGTAGAGACACTACATACTGATATACACCTGAACATCAGCAGGAGAGGACTCTTTAAAGTAGAGACATACATACTGATATACACCTGAACATCAGCAGGAGAGGACTCTTTAAAGTAGAGACACTACATACTGATATACACCTGAACATCAGCAGGAGAGGACTCTTTAAAGTAGAGGACACTACATACTGACATACACCTGGACATCAGCAGGAGAGGACTCTTTAAAGTAGAGACACTACACACTGAATACACACCTGGACATCAGCAGGAGAGGACTCTTTAAAATAGAGACACTACACACTGATACACACCTGAACATCAGCAGGAGAGGACTCTTTAAAGTAGAGACACTACATACTGATATACACCTGGACATCAGCAGGAGAGGACTCTTTAAAGTAGAGACACTACATACTGATATACACCTGGACATCAGCAGGAGAGGACTCTTTAAAGTAGAGTCACTACCATACTGATATACACCTGAACATCAGCAGGAGAGGACTCTTTAAAGTAGAGACACTACATACTGATATACACCTGAACATCAGCAGGAGAGGACTCTTTAAAGTAGAGACACTACATACTGATAGACACCTGAACATCAGCAGGAGAGGACTCTTTAAAGTAGAGACACTACATACTGATATACACCTGAACATCAGCAGGAGAGGACTCTTTAAAGTAGAGACACTACATACTGATATACACCTGAACATCAGCAGGAGAGGACTCTTTAAAGTAGAGACACTACATACTGATATACACCTGAACATCAGCAGGAGAGGACTCTTTAAAGTAGAGACACTACATACTGATATACACCTGAACATCAGCAGGAGAGGACTCTTTAATGTATATCAGTATGTAGTGTCTCTACTTTAAAGAGTCCTCTCCTACTGATATACACCTGAACATCAGCAGGAGAGGACTCTTTAAAGTAGAGACACTACATATACACCTGAACATTTTCTTGAAGTAACACTGGATCAGATGTTCTGACAGGACACTAAGCCAGTATTGAGTAGTTAACTGCAAAAGCTGGAACTTTCCTTACACACTTCCTGACATTTTATCATCTCTTTGCCAACATGTTTCCTGTCTGCCCGCAACACTTCCGTTTTATGTTACCAGTCTTCTACACTTTAAAGCAACTGTCATATGGTTCAGTATGAGGGGCCGTACAGGCCGTAATTCATACTGGTCTTCTCACGCACATACATTCTCCTTTTACATACATATATGTTCACTCTTACACACATACATACGGAGCCCTGGAGGGTTCATAGAGAGAAACATTTATAAAACGAGGCCACGTTTTATTAATTTGTGCGCACAATATACTTTCTCGTTCGCACGAGACTTTCTTATGGTTAGACACATCGAACTGCCCGATTATTGCGCCATATTATTAGTTTTATGAAGAAGGTGTGTGTGTGTGTGTGTGTGTGTGTGTGTGTGTGTGTGTGTGTGTGTGTGTGTGTGTGTGTGTGTGTGTGTGTGTGTGTGTTGTGTGTGTGTGTGTGTGTGGTGTGTGTGTGTGTGTGTGGTGTGTGTGTGTGTGTGTGTGTGTGTGTGTGTGTGTGGTGTGTGTGTGTGTGTGTGTGTGTGTGTGTGTGTGTGTGTGTGTGTGTGTGTGTGTGTGTGTGTGTGTGTGGTGTGTGTGTGTGGGCGTTTTCAGAAGATAAAAAAAAAAAAGACACAGCTCTCTGCGCGCAGATAGCAGATACTGTGAGAGTCACGGACATTAATTCTGGGGCAGACTGGTTCACAGACTCTCCTGTTTTGTCGATCCGGTGCTTAAACGCTCTACACCTCTGGCCGAAATGTCCCTAAAATGAAGTCTGAGTTTGAAATATATCTCAAATAATGTATGCACTGCCATTTCCCCACATAAACATAACGGTCTGCAATTAAACGGTTGTCTCCTGTGTGCTCCACTTCCTACTTGGCGCACCGGTAACTTTCTTGTGCGCACGAGAAAGTATATCGTGTGCACGAATTAATAAAACGTGGCCTCATTTTATTTATATTTCTCTCTATGAACCCTCCAGGGCTCATACATAGCCTACATTCTCCTTTTACATACATACATTTTCACTCTCACACACATATTTACACTCACACATTCATACATTTTGCTCTCATATTATCATATTTCAATGCACACATTCATATTTTGTCACTCATATATTTATACATTTTTCACTCACACATACATTTTGCTTTCATATTCATATATTGTAACTCTCATATTTATACATTTTGCTCTCATGCACATTCATTCAATGTTTACATGTAATATTATAAATAATATATGCATGTATGAAGACAATATATGTATGCAAGAGAAGAATGTATGTGTGAGAGAAAGTATAGTGGAAACGGAAGGAGTATGGTTGAAACGGAAGGCAGGTCCTTATCGCGCTGTGATTGGCTCAGAAGGTCGAGCGGTGCCGGCTCATGTTCAGAACTTCGGATTCAAATCAACACGATGGAGGAAGATGAATCCGTGGATCTACGGAGCATTTGTTTTTCTTTATTAAAAAAGTAAACGGAAGAGCGTCTGAGAGGCGTTTTTGCTTTTTGTTTTTTACCTTACATGTCATGTCATGTCAGGTCATTGGAGCGAGGGGCGCGAAACTCGCGGAAGTGATTTCAAAACAAAAGCACTCGTTTGCTTGGAACGGTGATTTATAAACAAGGGGAATTTAGAGATCACAACGAAAACGGCC